AGAGGTTAAATAAGTGGGTTGGCAGATGGTCATTTGGGAGTTTACCTGCTGTTGGTTAGGGGAAGGGGGCCAAAACACCCTACCAACAGTCAACCAGATGGTAAACAAGAGCCTTGGCCAAAATGGTCAACAGTATATGAGCCCTGTTCCTGTGACTGAACTATTTACTTGAAGCAGTAATGTACACCTGCTTACATCTGGAATGATTCATCTTTGTGACATTAAGAAACATAGGCTAGTTTAACTGAATAAAATGCAGTTACAACAGCCCATTTAATATAGAGACTGAGAATTTCAACATTATACTATGCAGCCTAGAATAGCGTATACTTTATAGTGTTTACCCTTTACCAAGCATTGTTCTAAACACTTTATATATGTATTACTTAATTTAATCTTCATAAGAGCCCTATAAAATAGAAATAAATTTTTATTGTCCCCATTGTATAGATGAGAAAAGTGAGGCACAAAGAGATTAAACAATTAACCAAGATTAGAGAGCTAGTAAATTTCTCTTTTTTTTTTTTTTTTGTCTTTTTTCGTGTCCGGCAACGGATCACAACCCTCAGTGTCGCGCCCGTAGCAGACCGGGACCGGCAACGGGATTGCAACCCTCAGCGTCGCACCCGCACCTCGCTCAGCCAGTGAGCGAGAACTGGTCTGTATGTGGGATCCGAACCCTTGGTGGGAGCGCCACCACGCTCCCAAGCGGCGCACTGTGCTCAGCCAGTGAGCGAGAACTGGTCTGTATGTGGGATCCGAACCCTTGGCGGGAGCGCCACCACGCTCCCAAGCGGCGCACTGTAGCAGTGCGCCACCGGGCCAGCCCTAAATTTCTCTTTTTAAGGCTAGTCAAAGTGAAACAGTGGGAATGGAGAAGAAACAAAAAAATGTCTAAATGGTTGTTATCAATTAGTTGTAAACACCACTAAACTCAGACTTACCCAGAGCTAATAAATACTGAAGCCAAGTTGAACCCAAGCAATCTGGAGCTAGAGTCCATGCTCCAAATTCAGAAGTTTTGGCTTATACAAAGAGCTAAAGCATTTATTTGAAATGCAAACAAAAAAAATTATAAACAAACATGTTCACTGTGGCATTATTTATAATACTGAAGAAACTGGAAATAATCTAAATGCCCCCAAATAGGAGAATGGTTAAATAAATCATGGTAAAGCTATTTACTTTCAATGAAATATTATCCTGCCATTAAAAAATACTTACCAAAAAATGTTTCATGACTTGGGACATTGCTCCCAATGTAATTCTGAGTGGGGAAAAACAAACAGGATACAAAAGTTCCTATATAGTATGATTCCTGATTATGTAAAAGATGAGCTTGGACACAAACTGGAAGGACATATTCTCAAATGAGAAAGAATGGTTACTTCTAGGTGGTGGGATTAGGAAAGCTTATATTTTTCTCTTATTGTTTTCTATGATGAATATACATTATTTTACTGCCAGTTTAAACACAGGCAATTTATTTATTTTATTTATTTTTTTTTTTACATCAAGCTTCACCAAGATCCTCAACCAACTGGTTAAAAAAAAAAAAGCTAAAGAAACTTCTACAGTAGTTACTTTCCTTGGGATAATACCCACTGCACATCAGACAACACAGCACATACCAAAAAGAATGTTCATCTTCAACTTTAAAAACTGAATTAAAAAGAGTATTTTCAGTTGTGGTTGATGTTTACTCTCCATGTAACTATGTTTTAGGATTATACTAAAAGGAGAGAAATGGACTTCATTATATATAGGCCAAAAATTCAGGAATAGCTTTGCTGAAATAGATAATAAGAAACAAAAAATTGACTGAGGAGGAAGAACAGCTGTTGCTAATCCAACTATTTACCCTTTGACCCTCTATCTGGCCAATAACCGAACAGTACCAATTGTTTCCCTATATTATGTGCTGTTTACAATCCCTGAGAGGCATGAAAGGAATGAATAATTTAGCCTAAGAAGCTGACAGTCTTGGGCCGGCCTGGTGGCGCACTGCTACAGTGCGCCGCTTGGGAGTGCGGTGGCGCTCCCGCCGAGGGTTCGGATCCCACGTACAGACCGGGTCCCGCTCACTGGCTGAGTGAGGTGCGGGAGCAACACCGAGGGTTGCGATCCCGTTGCCGGTCCTGGTCTGGTACGGGCGCGACACTGAGGGTTGTGATCCATTGCCGGACACGAAAAAAGACAAAAAGGGAAGAAAAAAAAAAAAAGAAGCTGACAGTCTTTATTGGGGATCCCCTTTCTGTCTGACAGAAATCAGAGCAAGTAGCTGTCCTAAAGTCATAGGTCCCTTTACTGTTTCTGTTTTATAGCCTAATTGGCCCCAAAACATAAATCAATTATTTCTCCTGTTTTAGGCAACAATGACTTCTATTCTCTAACTCTCCTTGTATCAAGTCAGTCCTTGTTCTCTTTAGTTTTACAACTACATGGTAAACATGATGGCTAAGGAAAAAACTTGGGGAGCAGGGCAGACTGGGGTTATTTGGAAACAGAAGTACAGAAAGATTATGCTGTTCTGAACTTCTCTTGACCTTTGACTGCCCTTGTCCCTAGCTTATGCTAATGGGCATGGTACAGGGACACTTCTTGTAGAAATGAACTTAGCCTGAACCTGTGCCATAACATTGGACTCCAGGAAGCTCAGGAATCATAGGAAAACAGCCAGAGTGTGAACAGCTGCCCATATTCTAAGCATAGCTGCCCATCTGCTCTATCACAGAAAAGGTAAAAAGGCCATCTGAATTGGACAAAATCAGTCTTTCCTCAACTAGTTCCAACACATTCCACCTGTTGTCCCAACCTGCTGTCTACAACCACTGCCAAGCACAATTAGAAATTAGCAATACAAGAATTTCCTGTTCCAAAGTAAGCAAGTGTGAGCAGGCTTTCCCTTTCAGGAATTTGGAGAGTGGGGGTGGGAAAGACATTAGGGCCTCCAAATTCCAAATATACAACACAGAGAAATCCCTGTTATTCTCAATCTAATGTGCAAAAGTCATGAGGAATTAGCATAGGAGATGTTATTCCTTCTAAGTCAGAACCCATGAAATGTGCAGTATTAAAAACCATGACCAGTTTAACACAACACACACAGCCCATCTCACTCCTGAGGCTTCCTATCACTTGGTAGGGCTGAGCACACTCAATGGAATCCCAAGATTGGTACAGATGATATAATTTTACTCTTACCTACTTATTATTTATAATAATCAAATCCTTATATATTTCTTCAAAGAGAATGGATAAAAATACTTCTAACTTCACAAAGATAATATAGGAACTAATGAGAATACTATTACATATACTAAGTACAATTTTTAAAAGAAAAGTGATTTTTTTTTAGGTGACCCCCATTCTAAACTGATAAACAAAAATTCTGTTTCAATATCTTTTCATTCTCATGGAATGGACAGGTCTGTAAATCACCACAATTAGCTAGGGATTCTAGGCAGAAATGTTAAATGAGCTAGGATTACTTTACCTAGAAAGAATAATAATTCAACAATAATCTTCATGAGAATACCAAGGGCCTTTCTCAGAAAACGGGCACGAGCTATTTCAATTGCTACTAAGTGCAGAAAAGGAGAATAAGCTTAGGTACACCATGTGCTAAATTAAAGCACATGGTTTAAAAATATCTTTTCTAATATTTTCAAGACTGTTTTATACATGAGGGCAGGAGATACACTTATTTATTTGTGTAGCCCTGGAGCCTAGAACTGGGTCTGGAGCACAGAGAATATTCAGTGCGTAACATACAGAGTTTTCAACTATTTGGCATATTTTATGTATAGCTGTCTGAAAGATTACCAGGCATCTCAATGACCTTCCTAGTGTTCAAAAATGCTTATAAGAAAGGATCATGCCCCAAGAAGATAAATGAATTTACCTTTTCCTTCTCATAAGTAAAGACTATTCATAAGAGAATGACGAAGAGAAAATAGTGTATTCGCCCATAGCTATTGTATACTGAGGCTATACTACCTAATACAAAACTGATTCTAGACTTTATGACTTCCAAAGAGACCAATCTATTTCTCTGGTGTTCGATAAGCATCATGGGACCTATTTTGTCTCACAATTAATAAGTATTAGTTAAGCAAACATAGATATTTATACTATTAACATGCGTGGGGAAAATACATAAGAATGTCTACATCTTCAGAGCTGATATCAGCCAGGCTGGTGGCAAGGTAGGCTTTATCACTTACCTTAACAGCAGATTGGTGACAGATAGCCAGCCCATGACTCTAAAAAAAGTACTAGAAGCAGAAAAATAACTGTAGACCATTTCATTGAGTCTCAATCTGAATTATCATTTGACTTCTTGGCATTATAGCAAAATAAGGTCTGTATAAACACTAGATACTCCCATGTCCTAATTCTAACAATTATAACCATGTCCCAGAATGGTGAATGCCACATTTAGTGAGCACTGGAAACTCAAATGATTATCTATAATCAAGACTTACACAGTCTTGAAACATCATTTAACTAGACCATGAAATGGTCACTCTCATACCTTAACCTTAAGAATGTAAATGAAAATGCTTTACAAATTAAACTGCGGTACAAAGGTTATCAATTCTAAATTTCTAAACCAAGCATAATTGTCCTTTGAAAGAAACTATGACAAAACTAGTTCATACTTTATAAAAATAGTTGTGAGTGTGCATAAATGAAAGTACAATTTTGTTGTTGTTGCTGGTTTCATGAGAGGATGGAGAACAGAGCAAAGAGATTGGTATTAAATAGAAATTTTCAGCACACCAACTTCTGTTAAACGGATAAATCTTGGCCACTGGAAAAGATCAGGAAAAGAAAAAGAAAGCAGAACTAAAAAAGACAGAATGACCTTCCCATAAACAAAGTGAAATAAAATCTGAATGTCAGTAAAATTAGGCTCATCAATGACACCTTAAGTTATAAAAGTGGACACACACATCCTTTAACCAGTGAACACTGGGGTAACATTTGGAACTTACTAGTGCTTGGGTCGAGCTCTGGCAATTCATCCTGACAGAAACCTAAAGAGAAAACAATAGGAAAAAAAGATTATGATTTGTGAATTACTCCAAACTGACTCCAAATATGAAAAAGCAAGTATCATATAGTGGGAAAAAAATCCAGACTGAGAAGTCAACTCAGGTTTGAATCCTAGTTTTAATATTTAGCTGCTGTTTATCCCTCTGAGCCTCCATTTCATCACCTTATTATAAAAATGGAAATAATAGCACTTACCACAGTACTGTAATGAGGATTAAGCTAGATACCAAAATGCTTAACTCAGTTATTGGCACACAGTAGGCGCTCAATAAACAATTTCAAAACTAATTATTCCAATATTAGTTGGAATAAAAACTCAGGAAAATTACTGTTCATTTTAATACCTGTCGTATTCTACTTAACATTATCCATTCTTTTCCCCCCCAAAATCAAAACATACTAAATATGAACTTATAACAAATACCAAACAGGGTAATTTTATTTACAATTTTCACAGATGCTGAAGAATTTTACCTTCATGGGCAAGAAAATATGAAAAATTTTACATACATATGTAAGCAATTCTTCCATTAATAAGTATGCTAGTCAGGTTGAAATAAACACCTCTCAAAATATATTTCATACCCAAAAAGTCTAAGCTACATTTGTCTGACTGGAGTGTAACTATCACACTGGAAAAAAAAAATCAAGCATAGTGAATGGCAAATACAGTAGGTCCTCTATACATAGTTGATGAAAGTTCTTTATTCCTGGAATGACTGCCTACTTTCTCCTGTTTGCTTTCTACTCATCTTCAGTTTAAATATTTCCTCAGAAAAGCTTTCTCTTGCCTCCTTCACCCTTGTTCTTACACAAAATTCAAATCTCCTGTTATAATTATCTATAACACCTATGCTGTTTCTTCATAGCACTCATCAACAACGAATAACTTGTTCAGTGTCTGCCTCCCCTATTAGACTGTTCCATGAGAACAGGGACCAGGCCTGTCTTCTTAACAGCTGTGTCTACATCACCTCTCACAAGCCTAGCACACAGTAGCTGTTCAATAACATTGACTGTAATATCTCAATAGTAAACTCAAAAATTATGGGGCAAAACTAGGACTGACAAGTATAAGAGTATCTTCTGTCAACAGAGCTGGGCAACCAGAAGTCAAACCAGCAACTGGCAGTCATGTGGGAGAAGAAGGATTCAAGTAGCAGGTAGAGTCTTTAAACACCACAATTTTTAAAGTTCTTTGCAGTCCTGGGATGTTTTGGCCACATTAACCAGACATACCACATCCTTTCTTGCCTTCCTGTGCTTCCTCCTTCAAGATCTAGCTCAAATATCACCACCACTATAACATGGAAAACAGAAGAGGCCCCTCCAGCACTCACCAAATGAGAAAGGAAATATTTAAATATCTGCCTCCTCCACTAGATAGTGAGCTCTTCAAGGGTAGGGACCATGCCTTATCCATGTGCAGAGCTGCTTCTATGTCCAGAAGAGTTGCCAATACAATATGGAAGGTACACAAATGCACGATGAACTCAGCAGAAAACACGACCCTGCCTCTGGATCACAGTCTAAGGGAAGGAAGTCATAGAATCAGAAAATCTAAGTCTATCTTGGACAGTATGTGGAAGGTCTGAATGAGGAGACTAGATCTCCTCTGAAACACTAGACTTTTGAATCTGCTGAAAGTGGCTGAGATGCCTGAAAAGGCTCATCTCAGAGCGGCTTTTAAAGCCTCTCGACGTAAAGGCAATGGAAATCAGAAAAGACATGGAGTGATGCCAGGTGTCTTAATCCATTTGGGCTGCTGTAACAAAATATCATAAATCAGATGACTTATAAACAACAGAAATTTATTTCTCCACAGTTCCAGAGGCTGTGAAATCCAAAATCAAGCCACTGGCAGATTTGGTGTCTGAGGAGAGCCTGCTTTCTGGCATCTTCTCACTGTGTCCTTACATGGTAGAAGGGATGAACAAGCTCTCTGGGGTCTCTCTTATAAGGAAATTAATCCCACTTGTGACAGCTCTGCCCTCAGGACCTTATCACTTCCCCAAGGCCCTCTGTCCTAATACCAAAATTTTGGGGGTTAGAATTTCAACATTTGGATTTGGGGGGAACACACACATTCATACAGTAGGACTAGGCAATGAGGAAATAGCTCATCATTTCAGACGGGTTGAATATTGAACACCCTACCAGAAGTGAAACTGAGAATAAGTTATATTCACTTAATATAAACTGACCAGAAAAAAGGATGAAAGCATGGAAGGCAGGATGGTTATAGCTCTCCTAGGTTCTAACTCAAGCCACTTTTGATTATATGACCTTAGGCAAGTCACTCTGGGCCTCGAATTCTGGACATTAAATGAAAGAACTGTACTAAAGGTCTCCAAAAAAAGACAAAGCCTAATATACCTTCTGAAAACAACCAATATTCTGAACTCAAAATAACTAGATCAAACACAAATAGAGGCTGACTTGAAAACAAAGAAAATACTAAAAAATAAAGTGGATATCTATCGCCTAGCAACCACTCACCCCTTCTTCTGTTAATGGCACTCTGATTTTCCTTTGGAGACACATCCCTCTTCCACTCAAAGTCCATATTATCCAAGGAGGACTGACCCTAACCCTGCTATAAATTAGGATCAACAACAACACCTACCTTATAGGGCCGTTAAAAGGATTAAATGAGATAGTGCACGTAAAAGCTTTTCATAGTATCTGATAAAGTATGGACTCAACATATGTGAACTACTACTAACTAATCCCTAAGGTACATCCAATTCAGTGCTGTGTCTGCAGTAGCAAAGTGTAGATTATAAGAGGGTAACTAGTAAGCCATTCATTACATCATCCTCAAAGACACGGGATGGAACCCTAACATCAATAATGTCACTGCAGCTACATGCTCTGATTCTTGAACTTTTTTTTGTTTGTTTTAATATTTTTAACCTGTAAACTGCTTGATGTGATTATAGATGTTTGCTACTCCCCAAGGAAAGGAATCTTTATATCTACCCTAAAACAAATTCCTCCAAGAATCACAAAGAGCCCTAATTCCACAACCATGTCTACATTCCCTCCATCTATTCCTGAGACCATTGGCTAATAATGTTGTCTCTGATTTTACAGATCATCACTATTGCAGGAGGCCTGAGGAGATAGGGAGAACAATGTTAATCCTATCTACAGACCACATGCCTCCTAATGACAAGTCAATGCAATGGCCAGACCTGGCTACCATTCTCAAACAGAGTCTCACCCAGATTTTCAGGTACCAGAGCTAGCTAGCAAAATGATTCATAGCTAGAGAACCCAAGCCACTGCTCACTGTAACCAAATGCATGTTCAATTAGATTTCTTCAATTAGATTCAACTCAAAGGCAAAGGATATCAGAGTTGTTCAGCAGAAAAAACAGACTCCCAAGCCCCGTAAATACACAAACATATCTCCAAAACCATATGCCTCACAAATACAACACATTAAGAATTAGGAAATATTCTTCCTTTTTTTTTTTGTCTTTTTTCGTGTCCAGCAACAGATCGCAACCCTCAGTGTCGCACCCGTACCAGACCGGGACTGGCAACGGGATCGCAAACCTCGGTGCTGCGCCCGCACCTCGCTCAGCCAGTGAGCGGGAACCGGTCTGTATGTGGGATCCGAACCCTCGGCGGGAGCGCCGCCGCACTCCCAAGCGGCGCACTGTAGCAGTGCGCCACTGGACCGGCCCAAGAATTAGGAAATATTCTAAGAAATCCAGGATCTTTGGCTGATGACTGACAGAGTTTGGATGTGTGTCCCCGCCAAAACTCATGTGGAAATCTGATCCCCAATGTGGCAGTGACGGGAGCAGTTTGAGTCATGGGGGCAGATCCCTCATGAATGGATTAATGCTCTCCCTGGGGGCAGGGGGCCTGAGTGAGATCTCACTCTATTAGCTCCGGCGAGAGCTGGTTGTTTAAAAGACCCTGGCACCTCCCCTCTCTCTCTCTCTCTCTTGCTTCCTCTCGCCATGTGACCTGCTTATACCTGCCAGCTGCCTGCTGTTTTCCACCATGAGTAGAAGCAGCCTGAGGCCCATGCCAGATGCAGCTGTCCCAGAATTGTAAGCCAAATAAACCTCTTTTCGTTATAAATTACCCAGTCTCAGGTATTCTGTTATAACAACACAAAACGGACTAATACAATGACTTAAATTGATTTGAAAAGGTAAAGACAGATGAGAAACAGATTGGTTCCTAAAATACCACGAAGTCAGCGTGCACATAAGCAATCTAAAATTTTAGTGCAAAGGGCCCGCCGGTGGCTCACTTGGGAGAGTGTGGTGCTGATAACACCAAGGCCACGGGTTCGGATTCCTATATAGGGATAGCCAGTTAGCTCACTTGGGAGAACATGGTGCTGACAACACCAAGACAAGGGTTAAGATCCCCTTACCAGTCATCTTTAAAAAATAAATAAATAAATAAATAAAATAAAATTTTAGTGCAAAGGGCCCGCCGGTGGCTCACTTGGGAGAGTGTGGTGCTGATAACACCAAGACAAGGGTTAAGATCCCCTTACCAGTCATCTTTAAAAAATAAATAAATAAATAAATAAAATAAAATTTTAGTGCAAAGCTTATATTCACTTAGCACAGTTTAACTTGGAAGACAGATGCATATTGTAAAAGGGATAAGTATGAGTTAGAGCTGGGTTCAAACCCCAAATTTGCCACTATTGTCAAATTAACTACCCTAAGCCTATTTACTGAAATGGTGGTAAAAATAACCATAATATTCAATTGTGAGATGTGATGAATATATGTAAATCACCTACTTTATGGCAAGTGATCAATAAATTACTCTAAGTCTAGGAATCTTCTTTAATATAAGAGGAATTCCAGTTGACAAGCTCTTCTCCAAATAGGTATTTGACAAAAAGAAAATGATCCATGATTAACTACAGAAACAGATTAAAGAGTCACTGATCTTTTTGGTATTTTGACTACAAAATTGGGTATTTACCACAATAACA